TCCCCACCTTTTCTCAGCTGGTGCAGTGGACCTTATGATAAGGATAGGAACTGGTAACAAGAACTAGAATAATCACGGGACATCATTTTACATTTATTATTGGACCAACAAGCCCACTGGTCTCATGAGCACGTCAATTGTCTTATGGAAAAAGCTAACAAATCCTTTGAAAAAGGGGCTTCATTTGGAGTCTAATGCTCAGCAGTCTTAGCAAAGACATTTTCGCTGGCCTGTTATCAGGATACAACTCCCAGCGCTGCAGGAAAGTCATCGCCGGCCCCTTGGGCAAGTGCAGATGACCGTTTCCTGCTGAGAACTCATATGGATCTTCCGCAGGCCCTTGGTCCTTTCTCTCATCTCCGGTGTGCACAGGGCGGTCTGCCGGAGGACAGCCGAGCCCTGCCACTTGCCTTATCACAAACAGCAATCACGACGCAGTCTTGGTGAGCACTCCTCCCGTCCCCCTCCAACACAATCATCCACCCCACTGGATGGGCATTATGGAGAGGGAATCTGGCTAGAGAAGAGCGAGGCTGTGCCACCACCCACTCTAGTTGCTCGGTGTGGGAGCTGTTAGCCAAATGCCACAGAAATATAATCGCTGGCATTTATTAAAATAAACACTTCAGGGAGAGAGCTCAGTGATGTAAGTGCCTGCCTAGCAAGCGCAAGGTCCTGAGTTTGATCCAGTTTGATTCCTGCCCCTCCCCCCGCAAAAAAAAAAAAATTAAGAACTGTGGTCTTATTGGCCATTGGCAACATAGCCTCGACGAAAATTTCTTTTCCCTGAGCACTGAGGAAGGCAGGTAGTTCAGAGAGTGGGGGCGGCTGCTACAGAAGAAGTCCAAGGACCCCACAGGAGTGTGAGGAGCCAGAGGTCAGGCGAGATGACGCCTGCGCAGACCATCAGAGGGCAGAGTTAGTCCTGCGGGGTAGGGGGCGGCAAGTGTACTTATAAGACTGGCCTGGGCTGGTGAGATGGCTCAGTGGTCTAAAGCACCTACTTGGAACAAGCTTGGCAAAGCACAGGGACTGCGGTTCAATCCCCCAGCACCACATGCCAGCCAGCCCCGCCCCCGGGTGGGCTGAGCTGGCCACACACACACACAAAATAAATAAAAGTTTAAAAAAAAAAAAAAAAAAAGACTGGCCTGAGAATATATCTAGGTAACTTCAGAAGTCATGTTTGGGTTTTCTTGTTCTTACTGTTCAGGACATGTTTTCAGGGGTCTTCTTACCCCATTGTAAACATCTATTTCTTGTGACTGTCATCATGGGCTGCGTGCAGTGCCTTTTGTATTTGTGTCCTGATGTCCTCCAACTTTTCACCAACTTATATTGAATTTCGTGCCCTTATCATTGGTGTCTTTAGATACTGAGCCGTGGCTTTTCTTCTGCGTTTCTCCCAGTGGAGGATAGGGCCATTTGAGAAATGCCACGCTTCCTAATGACACCTCCCCTTCTGCTCTGTGTCCCCCTACTCTGAAGTTGCCCTTGCATTCTTCCCCCATGCTTTGGGAAGAGGAAACTTAAAATAATTATAGAACTGAGAGTTGGATATCTCACAAACCATCACTTTCTAGACAAAGAAGCAGATTTTCTGTGATGAAGACATTACAAAATAAAGCAAGTAAGGTGAAGTTAGGTGTCTTACCACTAAACTGTGATGGCCTCCTTGTATAAAGCCATTTTTTAAAAGAAGCATGAAACCCTCATAAAAGTTGTGGATCTATAAACAAGGAAAAGTACTAAAGAATTAGCATCTTCAAAATAAATGGAAATGGTGTAAGACTCTGCAGAAGAAATTGGGATGTTGGCTTTGCTGGTAAGGAACTAATTCTTTTTATTGTTGTCATTTTAAGGCAAGGTCTTGCTGTATAGCCCAGGCTGCCCTTGAACTCACAGTACTCGTCCTGTCTCAGCCTCCTGAGTTTGCGGATTATAGGCATATGCCACCACACCGGGCTGTCGGGGAAAGAGAGAATTCTTCGTGCACAAGCACAAAGAAATGCTCATGGGTGCTCAATACCCTTGTGACAGAGTGAGGCGGGAAGAGAACATAATAATGAGATCCTCTAAGATGGAGCAACTAATCTTTCCTGGTGGCTCCAGTGTTGGGTAGCAACTGATCTTTGGAGAGGCTGCCAGCAAATTCCATCCACAGGTAGAAATATTACCCATGAACACAGGCACCCTGAGTATTCTGCCTGAACTCTTCTCCCAAGCCCACTTACGGGTGGAAAGGAGGTCCTTCTGGTGTCTTCTTGCCAGGGTGTCTTAGAATTCGGAGTTCTGGGTCGGGACAATCTTGTCCCTATTTTCTGCATCTCCTCACACCTAATGGCTTTCCAATCACTAATAAACATCTGCAGAAAATCCCTTAGTGACAAGTAATCCCTTATCTCGGTTTCTTTTAATAGAACCCAACAATCTGCAGAATGAACCCTAGACTCCATCTCCTCGGCATCAGGTGGCAACGGTCAATCAAGCCACCGGAATGCAAGACAATGCAAGCTGCTGAGGGTGGGGGAAGGGCAGCCGTGCCTTTGGACCGGCCACAGGGGACAAACAAAAGGCTCCCAAAGTCTCTGGCTGGAACTCTGGAGGCTATTGTGGGAGCTGCTTTGCCCTGCGTTCTTCAAGAGAGTGGAAAGTCTGCGCGATAAAGAGGCCTCCCAGCACAGGCAGCTCACCCCACATGGTCCCACCTTGGTACGTGGAGGACAGGGCAGCCATGGGGGACTTGAACACTTAGCAATCTACAGGATGCTGGCTGTCAGTCTCTTGTACTTGAGACTCTTCAGTGCAAACTGTGGCCTCCAGGGCTTCCGAGAAATGGCAAACTGGGAGATGGCCTCAGGTCTACTCAGTGAAGAGTGGGTCCCACACACTCATGTGGCATGATGGGTCTGTGGCCATTTTACTTCTCTCTCTCTCTCTCTCTCTCTCTCTCTCTCTCTCTCTCTCTCTCTCTCTCT